CCTGTATCACCAGAGAGAAACCCTCAGGACAACTGAATACACCTTTATGCTCCACTAAAAGCAGGTATTCTTGACTTGAAATATAGCTAATTAAGTTTGAATATGTAAAATATGTCTGTCTCAGGCAGACGGGACCAGCGCCAACACACTAAAATAATACAATCGTAATTCAAGACGTCAAAACAAAAGATTGTCGTGGAATATAATGTCGGAATTTACTGACCGTTAAATACGGGGAGCATTTTGTCAGGTTTTACGTTATGACAGTTGCAAATGGAAAAGCCAGATAAGAATCAGACAATATGATTTCTAGATATTTGGGCTCCATGGATAAGATGGATGTATATCTAGATATTTATCAAAGGAGTAGATACATCATAGCTAAATATGAACCCCCCCACACCCCCCCCCACACACACATGCACACACACAAACTCACTGTCTTAAGGCAGAAATGGCCAGTGAAAAAGTGCTGGTTCAGTCTCCTTTCTGTCTCTGGGCATAGCTTTGATCAGTCCCACCTCAAGACTAATCCTGGAGGGAACGCTGCACTTCTATTCTCCATGGCTAATCACACTTCCTGTCTTTGTCTTTATGTGCTTTAGACAAGCCTCAGATAGAAGCACAGGAACAGATTTGCCCCGAAAACCTAGAGAATAAAGCCCCTGGTTGTGCTGCAGCTCATCCAGCAGATTTCCTCATGAATATTTCCACTGTTTTGGAGTAGTAGATTCCAACCCATTGTTGCTTAGAGTAAAGGTGCTTTTAAGAGGTAGACAAATAAGCATTTTAAATCTTAAAGGTACCACAGTAAATCTGGTTTATATCAGCATACCTTTGTGAATTGTATGTTTTTTGCTGTACATACAGCTAATAGGCCAGAGTAGACATACTGGGGTTGGAACTTGGCCGCGGTGGAAAACATGCCAACCGTGTAACTCGAGACCCAAGCAGTGAAAGAGTTAACTAAATTATTTCTCATGCATAGCATATTCTTTGGGCTCAGGCAATATTGCTCTGCCTGCCACCAGTGACACTTTTCATCAAGAAGTGTGCTTTGTGTGTTTCACACAAGTGCAGAAAAGACCATTTATGCCAGGAGCCAAAAAGAATAAAAAGAAACAGACAAAAATCCCTCTTTTTTTTTCGGGGGAAGCTGAAGGCTATGAAAACCATCTTGTGTTCTATTTTTGAACTGATTTCCATTTCCATGGCCACCTGAGGGAGGTCAGACTGCTCGAGCCAACTTCTTCACAAGAAAAAGAGGCACTGGTGACAGGGACACAAACTTGAAGACAAACCATATTTCATCCCTTTTCAACACCCACGCCACCCTTTATCCTCACTGGCACCATCAAGACTCTCATGGAAACAGAAATTAATCACAACACTGTAACAGAAAACAACAAAATCTTTTTTCCTTTTACCTCTTTTTTTTTTTTTGCTGTTTTCTTGCGCTTCAAAGCTTGTAACTGTCTGCTGTGCCCTAGGGTTAATTAACATGAGCCAAACAGTGAATGATCAGAGAGAATGGGAAATCTCCAAAGGTTAAGTGTCACATGGGAAGCGTGTTGTCAGAAGAAGGGGAGGTAGGCTGTTTTTTTCCCCCCTACACGTTCAAAATCAAACGGAGGAGAAGCCGTGCGGAGGGAAGAAATTTGTAGACACCTTTCCAAAACTTTGCATTTCTCCTGTCAGAGCTTCACAGTCGAGCTTCAAACAGTGTCTGTAATTCCATGACATTCAGGAGAACAAAAGAACTCTGCAGTTTTCTCTAACTTGCGGATCTTTCAGTGGCTTTACTCCACTTTCTGTATGTCATTATGATCCACTTAAGAACACACACACACACACACACACAACACAATTCGATAATGTGATGAGCAAAAAACCTTGCGGACAAAAAAAGAAAAAAAAAGCACAAAAAAAAACACATCGATCACATATTTAATCACCGCTTTTATAGAACTACTTGCTGAAATTGCGCCAACTCTTGGTATCCCCGGAGGGAAAAAGAGAAAATGACTTCATGATCCTGGATATCCTGGACTGCATATTCTGCTGCCTGAAAAGTATGATTTCTCTGTGTAATAATTAACATGGGCTCCTCTGTTCTCCCTGTGGCTTGTCGCTGACATTTGGTTCATGCTTGAGTGTCTGCCTGGCTGATTTCAATCTCTTGCATGAAGGTGGGGCTGTGCTTGTGAGCGTGTACGTGTGTGTGCGTGGGGTCCAGTGGCCAGTCTGACAAAGACACTAACGACAGGTCATGCCTATACTGGATAGGATTAAGGCCGAGGACAATATGGCTTAGAGACACTCTCATTGGATTCCGAACCTCAAGCGGGTTAGAAGTTGAAAAGCCAAATACTGGAACACAAATTATACTTGTCAGTGTGTTTGTGTTCTTGCGAATATGCGTTATGTAAAGGGTCATAGCTCATCTGCCTCAGAAGAAGTATTGTCAAATTCATCACAGTGATCTCTATACATTTTGTCTGCGTTGACACCCTGCATTGATTTACATCAAACACATCAGACTGGTCATCCCATCCACAGCTGCAATAGGCCTTATTTAACATTATTACATTATGTATGCAGGCTTGAGTATGGATAATGAATGAATCTAAAGCAAAGCAGTTTAATTACCCACCATCATTCTGTCTCACCTAGCTCCAGAGCACATATCTTATTAGCCATGGTGTAAATAAACATTAATATGCCGTCTCGACTGTCGTCCCTTTGCCGTTCTTTGTATATTATCATCATCGCCTCAAAACACACAGACTTAAACGGATTCTGTGGCATGTGCAAACAATGGAAGAGATACTGAATTTAGGGCCAGAACACTGCAACCACTTCACTAAAAATGAACGTTCTTGCATCTGGGCACACAGGTCTAGCTAAAGATCAAAACCGCACTCACAAAACTCACAAGTGGACACAGAGTGTTGACGTGGCCTAAAACAGAAACCTCGGGCTCTTAATAGTTGATCAAACTAAGGGGATGACAGCAGTCTCATTCAGCGAGTGGCAGTGTTTTGTGGACCGGTAATTTCCAGAAATGGCGCATATTGTCAGAGACGTCTCATTGGGCAAACCGAAGGAGGCCAGACACAGATGTATTGGTGGGGAGGAAAGATATATAACACATAGGTTAACCAGCCATGGGGTGTTTTCATCCTTTCAGCACAAGGCAATAAAAAGAAAGCTGCAAGCAAAGAGAAAACTCAGCATCCCGTCCAGCTCGGCGCATCAAACACTGATGATCTGATAAACTACAGAGTATGAGAGTCTAGCTCCGTCTCCAGGCAGGCTATTTAATAAAGGGTCATCTATGATTTAATGCGCACTTAATAGCAGCGTTTGATTTCATCAGGTGTACAGCACTATTTCTATCAACCTAGCCGAACTAAAACAACGTCTAGAACATGTTTAAAGTATACCCTTGTTTAGAGAATCCCTTTGACTGCTCAAGATGACAGAAGTTGAACTCTTCAAAGACGTCAGTTGGACTGCTTATACATAAAGCCCTTTTTCTAAACTTCTCTATATGTCTTTTTTGTCTGGAGATGGACTGCAGCCAAAACCCGGGAGGAGACGGGCCTTATTCTGCTTTCTCATGTTGTTTCAATCACCAGTCTGCTGTACAAAGGAGGCAGCCTGATGGTGTGACAAGTGCACAGCATCTGCCTGTGCTGTTGTCTCATTTTGAGCCTCATAAAAGGAAGCGGGCCTGACTACGCCAGAGGCACAGGATCCAGCTCTACAGTCTGAGCAGAGAAACATCAGCAGTGCGCCGTTTTTCAGAGGGAGATGTCCTTCAGTGTAGCGCCAACTCTCCCCGGGGCGGCAGCGTAAGACACGGCCCCTTATTTACCATATACAGGATCTCTCCCTGCCCTTAATGAGCCACGGTATTCTGCATCACAGAGACAAAGGCCATGCTTTCACTGAAGAAGCTGTGATTTTGCTGAATTAAATAATGATAATTAAGAAAATATTAATCAAACTACCGACTCTCTGGGCTCTGTAGATGTGTTGAGGGAGCGGGTCTTCCAGCTTAGCCTGTAGGAGTTCTCATTTAGATTATGCCTGTGACCTACAGGGCTGCAGGCAAACACACACAAACACACAGAGATGCAGCACACAATTAAAAGAAGACCCTGGTGGCCTTCTCCTCTATAATTAAACACCCTTTGGTGCTCTGCAAAAAACACTGAGCAGGGTTCAGATGTGTCAAGGAGAGAGAAGCTAAAGGAAACATTAAGAAGCTGTTGGTTTCTTTCAGTTACAAGTTCTGTTCAATGCAATGAATTAATAAAAAGCACAAACTAATACCTTCCCAGTGTGCAGTTGCTATGTCTGGCGGGGCAGCAGCTATACAGCTGTTCTTTGAAATTTTAATGCCGCTGCAAGCCTTGAGCACTGCCTGGGCTATTTTCTCTGAGGTGAGGGTGAAGTGGCAGGGCTTTAAAAAAAAAAAATCTGATAAACTGGGCCAAGTTTGAAAAGAAGTAAAGATTCCTCCGACCTTTAAAACATCAGAATAGGTTAGACAGGAATCAATGGTATCTGCAACACAAACCACAACATTTTACAAAGACAACTTATTTGAAAAAAATATATCAAAGTAAAAAATAAAATAAAACTCACCTTAGATTTAGATGTTATTGGTTGATTATAACTTTACTTTTTTAATTCTTCAAATCTCAGAATGCTCTTCATACAGCTGTGGTTGTTATGGTAATGCAACGAATTGCATCCCCTTCCCAGCATGCTCTGTGTTTGACATTCATGGGGTTAAAGTCCTCTGAATGATGAAGTGCCAGTGTTTGGGACAGTAAATTGCGTCGTTTCAATTGAGAAGAGAGTTCCCCTTGGGTTTGCTGGAGGTCCCTGCGGGCTGGCCTTGAGCAGAACAGCATGTTGTACATCCATATAAAAAAGGGGGAAAATATGGTGGTACTTTTCTCTTTATGATGCAGATATTAATCTGTCGACATATTCACACATAAATCTCCGTCCCTGCTTTACAAAATACTGTTTTATCTTACTTTACACTATATTTTATTTTTTTATTGCCCATAAACAGAAACCATCACAAAGGGCTAATGTTGTCATCAATATTATTACAAAATGATCATAAATCCAATGCCTTGTTAAAATATGAAACCATTTCTCTCCTTAGCTACTCAACCATTTAAAATATTAGACAGAAGCATTATTTATCAGGCAATTTCTCCAACAATAAGAGATGGTCCTCTAACAAATCTGAGCTAAAGCCCGCCGCTTACTTCCATTAAATTATTGCACTTTCCTTCCCATCCTTTCCTCATCAGTGTGTTCAGCAGTTCTGCTTCTACCTTTCGGGGCTATTTTGTTCCTTATACTTCAGTAGAAATGCCTTGACAACACTGTTGTGCTTATTTCATCCTGAGAGACCACAAACTAAACAGCAGAAACACGTTGTATAGACGCTTGTTTAGTGGTATGCAAATCATCTTTGCCGGAGGTAAAATTAACATTTTCAATTAAAATATTAGCACCAAACAAACACAGAAAAACACACTAATGATTAAATCATCTTGATAGAACTGCAGAGAAATAGGCTGATTGTTTATTTTATTTGTCACACACTCTCAATTTTCCAGAGACAAATCATGACATTTTAAGTTGAAGATATAAATCCATATCATCCGAACCATTTTTCCTTAGAAACACTTAAAAAATGTCACTGGTCAGGGCGAGTAAAATAGTGTCCAGCCGCTGCTTTCATTCATTTTGACCTGCTTTACATCCTTTGATGATGAGTGAGAGAGCTGATGAAAGCATGTTAACATGTCAGTCACTGGCAAATATTTCATTGTGTTTAAAATTCCTAAAACCGCTGTATTTCTGCAGCAGGCATCAAACAGCAAAAGCCCTGAGACACAGGTGTTGCTTTTAATAAAACTTGACTGCCCTCTGGTGGTTATTTAAAAAACGACATCTAAGAAAAATGCTAAGTGAAGGGTTAGAAAAGTAAGCGCGAGAACTCCAAAAAAGCAACTTTATGAAAGGCTAAAACTTTTTTCTTTTGTAACACACTCGTATGTTTGTGGAAAAACGAGCTTTGGTTGCTTGAACTTGTTCCCAGGTGATATTATAAAATCTCATATATCCAGTACAACCTTCCAGAGGTAAAAAAGTAATGGTGACTATTCATTTTTATTGCTCAGGTCCACAGAGACTGAGCAGTGCCTTCTGGTAGTCTCCCTTGGTGTGTTCCTGCAGAGGGAGAAGTAGCAGAGCAGGTTATGGTGAGAGACAGGACAGAACGGGCTCTACTGCCCATCAGAACAGGCCACTCACCGTGATAGTCTGCTGCAGAGACTGTCCAAAGTTGTCCTTGTATTCAGAACAAATCTTTTTCAGGTCCACCTCACAGCGGGAGACAATAATTCTGGTCACTATCTTCTCTTTGGCTCCTTTACTCTGAGAACAGAGACAAGCACAAGTCAGCAGTTAAGTTGTATGTGCTTTATACTTAACCACCACAGCTGATGCAAGACTGTTGTAAGATAACTTCTGCCAACTTTGGGTTTTGTTTCCCCGCAGCGATATTGTACTTTCACAAGAAGAAGTACTTCTTACATCTGTTGGGAGGACAAAAAAGTCCAACCCTCAAAAGAGCTACATTTCAGTGAGAAAGAAGAAGAAGTGTGACTACCTTCATGGCTTCATTCAGTCTTTTGGCAAAGAACAGCTGTTTGTTTTCGAAGCACTGAACTGGAAAAGCAGAATAAAAATTAATTGATTATCCACAGTTTTGCATTTAGTGACCACTTGGTTACTCTTGTAAATTTAGAAGACAAATGGTTTTATTGCTTGTTCAAAGAAAACACCTTCTGTATATTTCTTATTGAATTTATTGGTTAAAGCGCACCTAGAACCAGGAAGGACTGTTGCAAATCTCCTTTTACTTCCTTCACAACGCTCTCCTGCATGTCGTAGGGACTGTAACTCTTGTATCTCTGAAACACTAAGGGAGAAATACTTCACTTTGATTTGCACATTTATTCCGGACAATCAAAAGTCAACATGTATGGTAATTATCCGCGACATTCTTCCTAACACAGGCTGTAGTACCTTTCTGCAGATGAGGGACACTTCTCTGAGACATAATGGAGATCCAAGTGGGCACGTCAGTTCCTTTAATCTTCACTCCAGCATCATAAAGAGCCTAAGCACAATCAGAGAAATGCTACTTTTAGTGTTTGTAGTATACGAGCGATGTGGAAAAACTAGCAATTGAAAAGAGCTGGTGTAAATAGATTTCTGTTTTTAGATATGAGGCATAACAATGACTGAAAGCACAGTATGTTGTGCATATGGTGAGCTTTATTTCTTTTACTGGCATTAATAAAACTATTATTTAGAAAACAATAAATAGTATAGTATATAGTTGTTTTATTTACTAATTTGCATAGATGTACATGTTCAAATCAATTTAATTTACATTAAAAGATGGGGAAAGTGGGAACTTACTCTGGCATCTTCATCTATCTTCTCATAGTCTACCACAGCAGATGGGTCGTCTCTCTTTGTCTGCACAGAAATAAGATACATTACAGTGGTATTTCATAAAAAAAGAAGAAAAAACTAAACAAAACAAAAAGACAGACACAACTTTAGCTCACCTGCACAAGAGCTAAGAGCAGTTTTGCAAAGTTCCCAGAGGTGTCTCCAGCCACATCTTTTTCCAGCTCTTTCTTGAACACTAAGAAAAATGATACAATTCTTTTGTCACATAATGCGACTTTAACAGTATCAGCTTAATCGTATAGCAATTCATTTCACCTATAAATTACTTCAAACCTTCGTTAAAGTACATCTCACTGAAAGGAAAACCCAACTACTGATTTGTGGAGCTCAGACTATGTCTAGCACGGCGTATACTCACACTCCTTGTACACCTTCTTGATTTCCACCAGCTCATCATTGCTGCGTGAGCACAAAATCTCAATCAAAGTTTCTTCATCTGTTCCTAAGCCCTGCAAGAGAAAGATTTCTTGGAGACGTGCACAAACTCACTTGCAACGTTCTGCACAAATAACAAGCATGCTCCTTCATTCTTCCAGTAGTGGGCAGTGTCATTCCTCGGATACCTTAATAGACCCTCTGATCTCGGAGGCATCATACTGGGCCGTGCTCTTCATCAGTCCGAGGATCACCGTTTCCAGTGAGCCAGACAGGGCCGCCTTAAGAGCTGAGATCAGGTCCTACAAATAAAAAAAGGTATTACTAGTTAGTAGTGTGTACCATGTGGTTTGAAAGGGGTGCAATTTCAGTCCAAATGTACCTTCTTTGCCCTCTTTTCATATGCAAAAGCAATTTCTCTCCTTTGGGAGTAGGTCCGATGTGTTAGAACGTCAATGATGGTCTGTTCATCCACTCCTGATGTGTGCAGATTTACGCCCAATGAGAAACAATCATTTAGAAATATCATCTTAAAGAGTTTGGTACATTTAATGCATTGGATGAAACAGTTAGGAGAAGAGAGTTAACAGTGTTTTATAGTCTACAAATAAAGATAAGTTCCTCTGATGTGAGGGAATCTTTCTCTAATTTTAACAAATTCAGCACAGAACACTTTTTTTGTTTGTTTTTGTTCTTTGCCAGGTTGCTGCTGACATCTCTGACTCAGTGAGGCCCAGACATGGCAGCGTGGTCAAAACATTTTAAGCCAAAAGGGTGACTCATAAATACCAGATACCATCTAAAGGGAGGGTGAAAAGGAAAAAAAAAATCCCTTCTTTAGGAAACACAGGAATATATCTTGCCTTTGGTTTTGATAGCCGTCTCTATCCTGGCGGCATCCCTCTCAGGGTCAAAGTCCAGAGCGGGGACCACGGTGGGGTACCTGGGTTCATTTGCCTACAATCAAAATCAAATCATTTAAGCCTAATTTTTTGACGAATGGAGCATTCTACAGTTTGACATCGTCAAGATAAAGGGAAGGCATGAGATTACCGCAACGTTGAGAGACAGCTGTCCCAAAAACTCTGATACCAAAGCCATCTTTTGTGTCCTGAAAGAGAGCAAACCGGACAGTCATCCCATCACTGTTCAGTGCAAGTCTGGCCAATCAAGAACTTGCATTTATCAAGAAAGAAGATGAACATAGTTTGAACAAGTAAGGAATGTCTTCTAACTAGAAGCAAAGAAATGTCCTTCATGAAGTTACTGATTTAAGTTCAGATGAGTTACTGGGAAGGGCTTTTTAATCAATAATCTTTTTTTTTTAATGATCCACCATCTACACGTACCATCTAGTTTTTAGTAATAATATACCACATATCCTGCTCTGTTAAATCCTTGTTTAGCCTAAAATATTCAATACAACAGCTCAAAGGGACACACCCTGTACTGCTGTACTGAAGTCTAGTTTGACAACAGTAGAAAACCGCAAAGGAAAAAAAAAAAAAGAGATCATGTGGCAAAATTAAGTCATGTGCCACATGTGGGACGATCCCTGGAAAAACACTTACGTACCTTAAAGTTATTCTAACTTATAAAAGCAGTCATTCACTTGTAAGATTCAAAATGCTCCATACTTGCCTGAGTTGTAGACGTCAAGGTGATGTCGCTTTCTGGTGATGTTTAACTGGAATGGGTGTGGATGTTGAACTTTTGTTACATAGAAAAAAGCTTCCGTATTCACCACCCCCTGAGCTCAGAGCCCCTCCCCATTCCATGAACTCATGACTCCACCCTCGACCACTGTAAGCCAAGCCAGGCCACTCAGAAGTCAGAGAAGCTCGGAGTGTGTCATTTCCACACAAATAAAAGAGTCAATAATGCTGACCAATCCACCCATTAAAAAGTATCTCCACTGTCTCAGAGAAACACTCAAAGATTTATTGTTTTTTTAAGAAACGACTTTGACAAAACAAACAAAAAGAATGGTTAACAAAATAGACATTTAAAAATGACAAAGTTTTAAGAAAGTACTCTGCATTCACATTTATATTCATGTACTTAAATAATCCTGGGGGAAAAAAGTATGCCAGTTGTCTTCTTTCAGCAGAACTGCTACAACTTGTCTCCTGATGACCGGGTAGCTGGACGTTTCTTTTTTCCCTTCTTGTTGCCTTTTGCTTTTGGGCTGCTCTTCTGGCCACCTCCATAGTTGCCGGCTCTCTTTTGCGCTCTCTGGCAGGGCAGAGGAGGTTTTATCAAGTCATCTCATCAACAAATTAAGTGGCATTCAATAATACAATGTTTATGTCATCAATAAATCTGAAAAAAAATGGTAAAAGAATTTCATGCTGACGCTTTCTGTTTGAAAAGTTAAAATATGTGTTGACATGTTTACGGTCAACTTTTAGACAGGCATCCGAATAATGTCTCCTTTGTTTACCAAAGAATCCTGTGGAGCTACGCCCAGGCTTGTGAAGGCTTCATAGAATCTCTCAGTGTTAGCTTATTTCTATCTGAAAAAATGGGTTTCTAGGCATCAACCAATCAGCATCAACAAGCTTTGTCATGCTGACGGGTCATCTTTCCTGAAAACCATCTTTTCTGTCAAATACAAACCTTTGGGAAAATCTTTGGTGGAAAGGTGCATGGGAGCCGCGTGTGTTTGAGGTGAAAGGGCAGGAGAACGTGGGGGTCGACAGGTATCCAGGGCACATGGCCTGAGGCAGGCGGCTGTGGAACGGAGCTGTGGATCTGCTGCAGGTCGTACGCTGACCGGCTCGCTTTTCCTTTAGCTGATTTTAATAGGGTCACAAATGGTTCCCATGCTTTGTGTGTGATCAGGTACTCTCCTTCCTCTAACCTACAGAAGAAAATGACGTCAGTGCAGGTGAGCTCAATCAAACCCCGTAAAGAAACATGTTAAGACACCGCAAAGACATCTTGTTGATGAATAATGACTGAAACGGAGGGCAAAACTTGCTAAAGCAAGCAGACGCTGAGACCTGTATTGTCTCTCATTGAGCAATTGGTTTTGCGATATTCCAACACAAATATGGACACAGTCATATTTTACTGGAAAGGTGCAAGAAAGATTGCGCAAAAAATGACGTCATCTCAAGAAGAGCTGAAATGACACCTTTACACTGACAATCCTGAAACTTCACAGCGAGACACAACCTTCCTGTAATTTCAGATTGAACAATCACATCACTGAACATGGCTGCATGAAGGCGTTGCCAAGCAAAACAAGTAGCCCCACCATACATTCCCTCTGCCAAGTGAAGACATTTGCGATAAGACCTAAAAGAAAACTGGGACTTGTCAACGCCCATCTACAAGTTAAACTGGGATGATGAAAACAACTTACCCTGTTAGCTTCTTCAGTATGTGGTGCAGGATGTTCAGTGACTTTGAAGGTCTACAGAAAGGAGAGAGACGTCACAAAGTTTTGTGCGTTGGAATAGCGCGATAATCAGTAGTGAACAATTTGCAGGTCCATGCGCAACAGATCAATAGCTCTGCAGTGTGGAGTCATCTTCCTGTTCAAAGCTTCCAGCTGCAGGCGCCGGGCAGCAGAAGAGAGCCAGATGGGTGTTATTATATACCTCCAGTCTTCCTTTTATCTGCACTAACAACCCAGATTTTTTTACACTGGTGAAGTATGTCCAGTGTCTTTTATCTTCCTATTCAGTCAGTGTAATTTCATGTTCAATCTCCACAACGGCTAATACAAATCTATTTTGTGTATCACAGATATAGTCATTATACCTCACTCATTCATTGCTCCTGTGGCAAAGTGATTTGCATCCGTTGACACATTTTCAAAAGGTAAAATAAAAGGAAAGCTTAAGAAATGCAGTCGTGGGGTGTTTAGGTTCAAGGTGCTCTTGTACGATATCATCTAAGCAGGACTGAAGCAGGCAATATGACATAATGAAAAAATGAAATGAACATGTAGTGACTGTGCACTGCCCAGCAGCTACTGTTATACATGATTTGAGCTAATGTAACACGTGTTAAGTGGCCCTGACTTCCAATTGGAAATACAGATCAGTTCTGGTTAAGAAGTCCTGTAACACGGTTTGCTGTTCTGCTCTCATGTGGGCGTCAGCAACAGCTACCCCTGATTAACAGACTTTGGTTCATTGATAAACTAACCAAGTGGCCTAACAACCTGGACATGATCTCTAGCCTCGAGATCTTAATGTAATCATTCTGGGTTGATTAGGTTAATCGGCTTCACACATCTGCTCTAACAACACTCACTTGAACCCGCCGGAGATGTTCTCTTTCCAGTCGTCGGGCAGCTTCCTCAGCAGAGCCACTTTAGACGTGTGTGCATTGATGTGAGCTGCGGAGCCACAGAGAGGGATTGAGAGTCACTCAGAACAATGCCCCACACGTCAGTATCAACGCCATTCTTCCAGCTCAGAGGAATTAGTTTGTGGTGATTTGCCAGCATTGTTATGAGCTTGAGTTGATGCAACAAAAAAGAAAAAAAAGATTTTTCATTTTTTCCCCCCGGCTACTTGGGAAGGCCTGCTTATATCAACAATGCCTTCAATTATGTAGTGTTTACAGAGCCTTCAACCATAGCCATAAATACACAATTGGGCAACTCCACATGATGAGCCACATGGTAAATTACAAATCACAAAAAAGGAAGTATTTGCTTTTCTGTCCTTAGTTTCTAGTACAGGACTATACACAGATTTTCTCCCCAGTGAACCTGACCATAAAAACAAAAAACAGAACGGGTTTTTCGGTATGTGGTACAACACGTCAGCTATGCAAACAGAACACAAAGGTTTACTATTTAAGAGGCATTTGCAAAGAAAACGTCTCATTATGTTTGACATTCCCAAGCAACACCTATGAAGATGAAATATTCAGAGAATCCAGTTGAAAGAAAGAGGTGGGGGAGTCCTTTCTTGAATCACAAACTAGAAGTGAGCAGCAGATCTAAAAATATTCACTACAGGAATACAAGTAAAACTCATGACAACATTTAGCTTTGCTCAGCTGAATCTGTCCTTTGTTGTTTCTCTAAATCAGATGTGTATGTAGCTATGGCAACCAAGTAAACTTCAGCACCACACAGTTACAACAGAGGGGTGAGTCATCTGAAGTGTATTCCACTGGTCTGTGGGAGGATCAGTCTTGTGGTCTCCACTGAATCCACCAAAGGAAGGAACATATGAGTGGTGTTTTCCTGCCTTTTTTTTTTAAATGAAAGACTAAAGGGCTTCTACAGTTCCCTTCAATCCAGGGCCAAGATATTTACCAACGTATGATAGAGTGGTCGGGTGCAGCAGGGTTTCGGTCCATAGCTGGCAAGCCTCACTGCTGGTTAGACATTCAACGCCATAAGTGAGCTGGTACTCCAGCTTGGGCAAGACATGCACTGGAACGAACTGTTGGAAGAAAGAAAAACAAACCTTATTATAGAAGGTGTGTATCTTCAACTTTGGGCCACAAAATGAAGCAGACCAGTTTGGAAACATTGTTCTGCTGGATTAACGTGTGTACCTGATTTCGGCTGCTGCCTACGTGCCATCCATGGGTGAGCGACACGGAGCTGCGCACCATGAGTAGCAAGTCCTGCAGACTGTAGAGTTTGTAGAGCACGTTGCCCTCTGCTGGTGACTCGTAGTCTTGCTCATCTTCATCACAAGCCTGAAGCACTTGTGAAAGTATTTCTGATTGGGGAAAAAGCATTGCGTGTTAATCATGCAATAGAGAGACTGCTCTGATAGACAAAACAGAAATCAACTGTTGCTTACTTCTGTGTTCTGTAACATTCTTGACAGATGCAGATTCGTGAGGAGCGGCGCACGTCTCGCTGTCCTCTTTCTGTTGTCTTTCCAAATAGGAAGTCACGCAGGGTTTGACCAGGGTCGTTGGATGAGAGTGCACTGAGGGCTCCACGCTCCTGCCGGGTGACTTTATGGCAGCTTTGTCACCGGCCGACTTGAACATGGCCGTCTGCATGCGAAGGATCTCACCAAGTTGATCCCCTGAGACCTTTCCTCTTTTGGACTGTGTCCTGGACCGTGTGCCTTTATGAGGGGGGGAAAACTCTGTGCTTACTGGAGAGGCCTCGGGAGCCGGGGTCACTGATGAATCTGCCAGGCATGCTGCAGACCTGGGCTCTGCTTGTTTGGCAGGTGCTGTCTTTGGAGATACAGACTCATCAATAGCCAGTTTATCATCCTCTGAATCTCCCGTAAAACTATGCTCATCATCACTCCCTTGGGAAGAACTTTGTCCCACTGGGTCTTTCTTTGGTAGAATTCCTTCACTCGTAACCAGCAGAACAGGCTCATTTTTCGGATCATCGGTTTTAGCCAAAGAGCCGTCTATAGTATCCTGTGCACTGCTGCTCATATTAGTTTCATCCAGATGCTCGCTGGACCTTTTAGCCCGACCTAAAACTGGGGGGCTTGGAAGTTTTTTACTTTGAACTGTTCCATCTGCCTCCTTCTGTTTCCCCTTCCTCGTGGACCTTTTAGTGATCGTCTCTCCAAACGTCTCCAGGTCAGTAAGGTCCACCTCAAAGTCGAGGCCGGTGTTTTCTAAAGAGGCACAACTCCTCTTATGTTCCTCCTGAATTAGAAGCAGAAACAAAGAAAAAGTGCAATGAAGAAAACAACATTCCTCCAGCTACTTAGAGGCCCATCTCTGTTTTTATTGACCAACGTACCGGTGACACTTGCTCTTCATGTGCAGGCCCCTCTGTCATCAAATGGAACACATTTTTATTTCCTTTCTTAACGACAGAGAGCTTCAAACTCTCCTGGTGGAAGATATGGCTCCTCTCTCTAACTGTCATCTCAGTCTTTAGAAGGGGTGAATCTATGTAGACAGTCTTCTTCTGGCTGCTCCCTGTAAATAAGTCATGAGGGGAAGGACTCATGAAACAGCACCACCATGAGGCCAATTGGTATCAATGCAGTGTAATGTGACATTTGTTTTCTGCCACATGAAAGAAAACATGTAAAACCCTGCATTTATGTCATGTGTAAAACCCTTAACCTTATGGGGCTTTTAGACTTATTCTAGTTTGAGTAAGATTAAAAGCAACATGAACACAATGAAACCTACTTTGTAAGCTAGTAAGCTGTAAGCTACAACCAGATGGGTAAATACTTTGCTGGTACTTTTAAAATGCACATCTATTGAAAAAAAAAACTAGGGTATTATATCACATTTTTAAAGGTAACATATGAATATGTGGAAGCCTATAAGATGTTCATGACTGCTTTATAAAATAAATATAAATAAAGGGAACACATGGAGTGTTCTTCAGCAATTGTATGCACTGGAGATAAATGCTCATTTGTTCTTAGATTCATCCCACTACAAGCATGATTCATTCAAGAGGCCAACATACCTTTTCCTGGGGTTGCTTTGACACTAACAGGCAGCTCCCACTGCTCGGCAAAGTCGGGGCCGTGGTTGTCCAGCAGCCTACACAGGGCATCCCGGGTCAGGCAGACCTGGGGCTCATATAAGGCGCACAGCTTTTCCGCATTGCCATCACTGCTGACCATCTGGAGAGCCAAGACAGAAGGAGTAATGATAGCACAGCATCTGCTGCATCAATAAAAACAAACAACAGTGGTACTTTTTTCTGTTAAGTAGTGGTAGTGGTGTCCTGATATGGACCATGAATCAGATTTCAGTAACAGAACATATCTGTGACTTACTTTATAGGAGCAATTTAAAAAATGAAAAGGAAGACAATTGCTTACAGCGTGCGTGTCCTTAGCTTTTTTAGCTGGAGGATTCTCTGATGAAACAGTCTGATAATCCAATGCAAGCTGTGCATCAGCAGGCACTATCCTGTGTTGTGTAATACTCACACTCCCCTGGAGAAATAAGAAGTGCACATATGTGGAAATGAAAGCACTTTATCACTATAAGGAGACTGATCCTGTAACTCAGAGAGTGAACATAAACTTTTGCACAGTAAGAAGCCAAATTAACATTTGTGCAAATTAGAAAAATATGGCATTGTAGTCCTAAACTTGTGGACATGAAACAATGGCATTACCATTATTAGCAGCTGTTTTTCAAATGTCAGCGTGAGTGCCGGATTAAAAGTCCCCCCTGTCAGACTGGTTATCTCAGTAATGGTGTAGAACTGAGGGAACGTCTTGATGTACTGTAAACAGGCCCGGAAGAATTCCTGATAAAAAAACAAAACAAAAACATTTGGGTTTTAGGATCCTATGTGACAGCAACTGCAAGGATTTTATAACAAGTGTATAATGTGTGTTATCAGTACCTCAGAATATTGCATAGCTCCTTGAGATATGAAGTTGTAGTCATCAGCACACATTTTAGAAACATCTTGAAGGTACTTCATGAACTGCATCACTTCATTGTTTAATCGCCTTGTTAGGCTCTGAAACATCATATATTAAGAAAATAATAACAATGCAACAACAGCAAGCAGGACTAATGACCATAAAGAAGAAAAGGAGATGATTAAGAAGCATACCTGTGGAGGAGACTTGCCATTCTTATCCTTCAAATACTGAATATAGGTGTAGTGATCTGTGCTGGAGAGGCTGGACAAACAGGGAAAAGGCAGCCTGGGTTCAGGGAAAGCATCCCCAGCCGCATTCTGCTCATGCTTTGCGCTGAACTTTGTGCCATCCTTACTGTCCTCTGCACCTCCAGCATCCATGTCTTCCCACGGACCATCACTATCTCGGTGGGACACCTGTCTGCTGGACCTCTTGCCTTTTAACACTGCGGTCTCTTTTTTTGGAGAAGAGCTGGGGTTTTCTGAAGCCCTGGGACTTGTTGAGGAGAAAAAAAAAAGAAAATAAGGCCATCGAACAAGTCACGTCCACATTCAATAAGTCAGCCTTTAAAACAGAGAAAACAGTTGGAAACACAGCTAAAATTATGTACAACTTAATTTAGTTGTTTAATTGACCAACCTATTGAGAAAGTTCCAAAGCTCGCTGACACGAGGTGCAAGGGAGTACTTGTCACAGAGATCTCTAGTAAAGAATGGACCGTCAGGGATTGGGTGGTCATCCCTGTAATTCAAAACAGCAAGTTAATGACAATCAAGAGGTTTCCAAGGCTCCAATAACTAAAGGATAGTCATCTTTATATGTACAACGGGGAAACATAACTAATGTACCCCCTTCTTCGCCTATGGGAGAGTAAGCACAATTTAACCTTCTACATTACTGCTGCCTTTGGGGTCTTGTTGTGCATTTATGTTTCTCAAATTGCCATTCATCAGAGTTTAAAAGCAAGAGGTCTATTAACCAACTCCTGCCTGTAGGCTTGCAACGACCCAAACAACCTACCAGACAAGGCGTTCACGTGTCGGCATCAAGTATTTAGTTAGTTACCTGACAGTTTAGCTAGCTTGAAAGAGGCAAGTTCATCTGAGCCAGGCTCGTGAGGTTTTCAAATGAAGTTAAAAGTTAACAAAAGGCAGAAAACAATCTGTTTGATTCGAAATTGCTGCCTGTATAAATATACTTTAAGTAAACCAGTAAAAACGAAGAACGCTCGATTCGTACGAATGTTTGCTAACATTTATCTGATGTGCAGCGAAATGGACTTACCAAACCAACTCCATCATTATTTCTGCTGGTTGTCAACTGGAATGACAACGCCGGACATGCATGCTTGTGTTTGTTTCCACGGTCGCTTTTCCGCATACAACCGAGCGACACTCTTTTTGTGGTAAAATATGTGAACGTAATGGCGCTCGGGCTCATTGCTGCCCTCGCGCGGCCATTAGCAGTAACTGATCTGAGTTTGCGCATGCGCTCTAATGGGTCCTAAACCCGTTTTCTTACCCGTCTGCCGGTATGAATGTCAGTCTGTGGTCCTCTTCAGCCCACATCATGATCATTTCTGTGTTTGAAACAGACCTCATTCTCTTGACTATCTGAAAACAAAAAAAACTGCACTTATTCCTCCAGATGGAGGATTTTAATGAATGCCCGCAGAACTGAATTTTTCATGCATTGTTTCTTCTTAGATAACACAAACTGTTTTTAAAGAGCAGCTCTTGTGTCTAAAATATAAATCAAAATGAATGATTTTAGCTAGAGTATGTCACGTAGGAGCTACTATGAATTCCGATAATGTATTAAGATCAAACAGCTTAATTTTTCCTCCATGTCTTATTCGGAAAGTAATGTTCTTTTATCATCTTCGCACCTATTTAAATGAGTCCATATTGAAAAATGTATGCAATTTATGTATGCAATTTATTCAACAATTTTAACCACACTGCAGTTCACACTTCTGCATCAAAATCTCTAATGTATTACACTGAAAATTAGATGGAAGAATTAATAATATTCTTGCAGGGGAGTTGAGTCATTCATTAAAATAAGAGACCCCCTCCCCCCATTTTGAATAAACCTTAGAGCTAAAGAAGTTAAATGTGTTACAAAGAATCTTTCAGTGAGAATCTTAACATCGCAATGGTTTTTAAAGGTAGTGCTGTTCATGCAGGGAAGAATCCATGTACATTTTTGGAATTACAAGTGATCATCATTGTATTTTAAGATTAAACATTGCTATTATTTGTATCAAATTTGTATCAATTTGTATAAATAATTTAGCAATACACTCAGTTTGGAAATATTTTGGTTTATAATCGATAAAGAATTAAATGCTAGATATTGTTGCACTAATTAACAATAAACATTATCGCAGCTCTTATTGACTTGCAAAGAGATTAAGCTGGACAGATAGAGCAGACAAGTGAGACAGATGAACAATCAGGGGAAAAAAGCCCATTACAAGCCGTAAATTTTATTATGGGATAACAGCACATAAAGCACATCAAAAATCGATGTGTGTAATGCACTTTTAATAAAGGTAATATTAAAGGTACAGTTTCTAAGTACAATATAACAACATTCATATTAGAATGAAAAGTATTTAAAAGACAACATTAAATTTCTTATTTTTCTTTACAGTTGTATTTACAAAATGAATCAAAATACTTATTTTCATCTTTAAGAATCAGACAAGAAGGAGCAAAACTACGTTTGTGAATCGACTACCCACTAAAGAGAGTTCAAAAGAGCTGGATAAAAAGGTACATGATCATCGGTTCCCATTTAACATCAGTAGCAAACATATGACTTAGAAATTTCTGACAACCACACACTAGTTTGGGCTAGCTTCCAGAATTTTTCACTTGTTTTGCATGGAAAAAAAATCCACCCCTGCTCCACCTGCCCTTCATGTGGAGTTACCCCTGCAGACTGAGGGCACATTGAACACAGAACATTAGAGAAATCCAGATGTGTTTTATGCCAGTTTTACAAACACATAGAAATATTTAATAAACAATGCATTAGTAAATCTTCTGTTTGCAGTGAAATAAAAAAATGGTACCACAAACAGAGAATGAAAAATTGTGGATTTCCGTTAAGTTTTTTGCTTTATCGGAAATAAAACATGTGCAAGTGAACAGTTCTGTAATATTATCCGCAAGCATTTATTGACCAATATAGATCAACATGAGACAAAATTCCCAGCTTCTGAAACAAGGTGAGGGGTGACATGTACACTCTAAACGCACTGTCTATACAACAAGACCCTTCAAAATAGCCCACCAACCAATGTGAAAACAACAACACATGAAGAAAAAAATCCCAAAAACATTTTAAGCATGTGAGGGTGAGAATTCATCCCTATGTACAAAATACATTAGAACTTCAGTACACGTCTGGAGAAAGAAAAAAATAAAATAAAATAAACACACACACACACACACAAGAAAGAGACAATCAAAACCATGTATGCATTTTGTTACACCGAGAGGCACTCAGTGTGATACGTTGTGTATTATTGCGAGCATATCCTTACTGAAATTTGCTACAGACTAGAGAGAGAAGGTCGACTTTTGTCTTCGAACAGCAATCCTTTCATGTACATTTTTAACACTTCCTGTGGTGTGAAAGATTTATGCCACTGGTCTGAAAAAAAAAAACGCCGTTTCGGGGTAGTCTAAAATGGGGAATAACAAAAGCATACTGGGGCGTTATTTTATGAAATCCAAGCACCACTTCCCTGCATCAGGTGAAGGACAATGCAGCCACGGGAGGTAAATAGTTACTATCTTAAAACCTGACAAACTATAGCCTCAGTGAGTGGTTTTTACAATCAGGTAAAGAAAAAACACAATACTGCTGTTTCACTTTGAATATCATAAAATTTTCCACAAACCAGAAAGCAACCTTAAATAGCTTGTTAATTAGCAGACTCTAGATTTGCTATAAGTCAGAAGGAAATAAGTGCCTTATCCCAGGGCAAGCACACTGATACAGGTACTGGCTGGGTAACTTTTACCACTATAATTTTCATTATCATTATTATTCATTGAGTCCTAATATCAATAATACGTTGATAGGCAATTAAATTAATTAACTAATAGGGCAGCCAAGCTTAGGAATCAATACTTGGTTCACAAAATTAACTTACCTAGCACCACACATTAGGGCAACACAAAATAAATGTCAGCACACCCTATCTCTATCAAACTAATCCTAAAAGAGGGAAGCAAAGTAGAAACAGTTTTATCGTACAATATGATGTAACCGATAAACAGATAAATATTTTCACTGGGTAGGCCTTAGTAGCAGTATTTTCCTCTTACCTATACAGACAGAAGTTACAAAGCTACCTTTATACATGTGGTCAATAATAATATTAAATATGGTGAATAAACAGCTGAGAATGAGGGAGAGAGTGAGAAAATAAGATATACAGCATACAGGCCATGCCAAGTTCTATCTTCTCCATCTGGGAACAGAACTGGTCAAATATACAGATGACACATTGAAACATCCACAAAAATCAACACAAAATAAACCAAATAGTGATAAATAAGAGGTGTATTTACATGCAGATGTTCAAAGACTATTATGCACAAAAAAAGAGAAATAATACACTGACATATATTATTGCTTGACATTCGATTATGGCTAAAAGTTGCTTTAAATTTTTTTAAAACTATATTCTTAAACGTCATTTTAATCATAAATTCTTATCACTTGTGCTTTGGAAAATGAGTTTCGTTATAATGCAACAACTGACTCGTAATTCTGGGTAAAGAAAACAAAACACTGGCAACTTTAAGCGTGACATAACACCGATCTTTGCAATTAACGGTCAAGAGTCTTCATTTCTGTCATTTAAAGTCAACGATAATTTTCATTTTTTAGGCTGTAGACTGACTGGTAGTCAAGCAGATTTTGGCTTTGAAGAAGGTCAACGCTGCCTCGAAGAGTTCTGCGGACCAGTGAATTGTTGAAGGCATTACGTCATGCTTTTTATAACCTACACTTGTTATGGATGGATCAAGCTCAGCATTATCAAAACCTTTTTTTTTTTTTTGCTTTTTCATCTTAAAAGAGTCTAAAATCAAATCAAAACCTCCTTGTCCACATAACCCTGTTCCCCTGTAATTATTAAAGCCTTGTCTGGGGTTTATTGTATTCACACACCGAGAACAAACACAAACTCACACACACGCACGCACACACACACACACTATTGCTTTTACAAACGGACAACAGAGCAGAGACAGAAGGACAAGCACATTTTACTGTATACTATACACTGATTGAATAGCACACAAAAAGATCCTTCACTTAAACTAGGAGATCTTGAATGAAAATATACAGGACATCACTTTTCAGGCCTGCGTGAAGGCGTCGTTTATAGTTAGAGGCAAGTAATCATGTGTTTGACCGTTTTCTGTTTGTCTGTCTATCGCAACCATACAAGAGGAGAATAGACGGATGGGGCTTTATTACTTCTTACAAACTGAAACAGTAAAAAGGTTGTGTGTAGAGTCAATTCAAAAGGCGGATGACTGCAGTGTAAAGACCCGTAATTGTAACACAAGGCATATTGCTTGTTATATACTTTAGAACACATGACAAGTCGCTCATCTAGTTAGACTTGAATGACAGCCGAACTGAGAACGTTTTCACTTGATAAGTGAAGAATTCTTTAGGTGGCAGACCATAGCCGTTCATTAAAAAAAAAAACAACAACATAAAAACACAAAAACAAATTGATCACTTTCAAACTATCACTATCAAGCAATGTCAAGTCATGCTAAGAAAAAGTACAAAGGATGAAAGAAAATCTCTGCAAACCATTTACAGGAAATCTGCCAATTCTCAATTTTGTGAACAGGAACTGCATGCTCAGTGTTGTATTTGAAAATGTTAGTAGAGAGTTTAAAGATCTTTATGAATTCACAAATAGAGCTAATCAAATGCTCTGCAGCTCCCGGCTGCTACGTCGGCCTTCCTGTTACCTCCCTGAGCGTTCACACCTCATCCCCATTTTGTTGCTCTTGCCGGGGCCACTGGGGCCTCTAAACCTGGATTGTCTAGCAGTGATCCAGACTTGGTTTCTTTTGCTCTGAGACTGAGGTTAACTAGTCGTAGAGGGCTTGTGCATTTCCAAACAGCATTGGATCATAACAGAGATTATTACTCAGGTACAGCATATCTACTATAACCCAAACACAACAGATTTAGTATTGCATAAGAATATTTGGTTTTCTAACAAAGAGGGTAATAAATTTAAAGACCCTGATGACACCATTTGAAACCAAAAGAGTTTCTATTCCTTTTTTATGTGTGGGAGGAAAATGTCACGTGTTGAAAAACTGTAATTTGTAAAAGAGATGGTTTTATTTTTTGTGTTGTCACAAATGATTATTTTAATGGCCTTGCCCGGAGGCCCCATTTTGCATTTATGGACATCAGAAATGTGGAATTCTAAATAACTCAGTGATCACGTTTCAAATTTTAATTTCAACCACTTTTCATGGAAAATGAAAAATCCCTGAAACAAACCAAAATCTAAACTAAACTAAGCTAAACTAAACTAAACCTCATGAATGCAAACAAACGTCCTCTTAAACAGAAAGCACAATAGACACTCTTCCCTGAGGGGTGACAGCACGAGGCAGTAACACCTTGTACAAATTGCACGGCAGAGGAATGATAGTGTGCAAACAAAACAACAACAGAAGACAAAATATATAGACAAAACTGGGTCTGATCTTATGGTTGGTGACAGATGTGTTAACATGCTCTGTTGGGTTTCTAAAGGGATAAGATTTTTTTCTTCTTTTTCCTTTTTTTTTTGTTGCTCTTTTTAAAAAGATATTTCAAGAAGCCGCTACTGAGATTGCTGGAATGTCTTAGGAATCCATTCTACATTATAGAAGAGTAGACTGGAAAGCGGAAGCAACGACTATTGTTTGGCACATCCAGGGTTTTTTCTCTTTTTTTTTTTAACCACTTTACTACCACACTGACGAGAAAGACACTCAACAAAAACAGAAGCACGACAACAAAGCATTCTGAAAATAGCACTTGTCCTACCGTTTTTATATTTCTCCCCTAATTATACGAACAACACCTAATCTAATTATTGCAGGGATATAGTTAAGTGCTACCTGACATCTTTTTCTCTCCCTCATTCTCTTTCACAAGTTTATTAACCAAAACAAGTTACAAAAATAGAAGCTTTACTACCAGACAAGGCTTTGAATATTCACTTTCCCTTCACTGTTTCTTAAATTTCCTGTGAAGGCGTTGCTGGGCTGAGGCTGTGGCAAGCAGGCAGAAGGTCACTCTTAACACCGAACACTCCAAACATTTTGAAATAGGCTCAGAAATGTGCTTTTGTGCTAGGCCCTGGACTTCTGTCACATTTGCTTGCTGTATCTTTATCTTCCACTAGGTGGAAGAATTGGATTACGGTCAAGGTTTGCTTTTTCCAGTCAGACCACATGGCGACTTGGGACGCTCTCTCAATGAATGGCTCATATTTTCTTGCAGCCAACCTTAACATAACATGCACAGCAAAATTAAGAGCAAATATTTAGAAAATGACTGTGAAGTATATGAAAGAAAGCATGTGGCAAATACGTGACCTAAAATGGCATGAAATCCAGAGCCATTTGGAGTGTTAACTTGTGTGCGCCTGCTCACAAGAAGGAGTATCAGTGCTGTGCTTTTTTTTTTTTCTTGACAGGCAACACACTGGCAGTTGTGGAGGAAAGAGGTGAAGGAGTGCCTTTTAACTTGCCTTCTCACCCGTGCCTTTTTGATCACCGTCCAGCAGCCACGCCAGCCATCCTAACATACTTCCCCGCACGCTTCCAGACCAGTTTCATCTGCAGCTCCCAGGACAAACATCTGTGACCATGATTCAACTTGTATTTCTTGTGCACATGCAACACATCACTAGGTAAATATACAAGTCTTAAATTAAAGAAAGATGTAAATAAAAGTGCCTTATCAATTCAACAATTAAGAATGGTCTAACTACTAATATACATGTTATTTAAAATAGATTCTATAAACATTACTTTTTTCTGTATAGTACTTATGACCATATACCCTGTAGTACATTATAAAACAGGTGGAATGGACCCTTTTCGTTGAGTTGGGTGCCCTGTGCTTCTCCAGGGCACCTGTCCAGAGAAGGATTAATAGCAGATGGCCTTACATGATTTCACTATGGTGGATGGAGTCTTTGACAGCTAAAATCATTGTGTTTTCATTAGAATTACCAGAATTCTAGGTTTCTTTTTTTCTTTTCTTTTAAACGATTGTCCGTAGAGAGGCGCCAATTGCATTGCCATGCCAAAAGGTCCCCCTTCAAAGTCGCTGTGAGTTTTTTTCCAAGCACTGCGTCCAAAACATATGACTGATCACAAAGAGAGAAATGGCTGAACTTGACTGAAATGTGCGCATTTTTTCCAGACATTTTATTTCAGATTTTATTTCAGAGTGAAAGATGACACTTCTGCTTCTGAAACTACTAAAAATGTTTAGGGAGTGCAGCCTGGGAAATAATACTGATGTGGTCATCTACTAAATAATGCTATTTTCCCTAAACTGTCTCATTAGTTGTTGATATGCACAGATAATTCATGACAGTCGAAATGAATACAAGTCAACGTGAATAAATGAATAGAGTGCACAAAGAAAAGCGCATGAGAGGGTCAAGTTCAGCCAAACAGAAGCAATTTGTTTCTATTTCCTCTTCATGTCCAGTAGGGGTGTTGGGTCCCACTTGTCTTCCAAAGAGAACTAAATTCAGTAAAGTAAACCTTGACAATCAGCTCCCCAATGCCCTGCCCGCCAATGTAAAAGAAGAAGTTGAACAGCGTGCCATCTGTCCACTCTGGTTTGTGCAGGGCACCAGTAAAGTGTCTCAGATTCCTCCTCCACATTCCCCTACGGTGGGCACACTGGCACCTGGCAGGGCTGCTACCCGTCAACGGGCATGGACTGCTCAAAGTCTGATCCGAACAGCTCCTTGTATAAGGGGGGGAAGTGGGCACGCACAATGTCTGGGTATATTGCTTTGAAAGCTGTGAGCTTCTCTGTATGCCTACTGCACAGTGCTCGCAGTGTCGACACTTTGCATATCAACTGTGGAGAGAGAGGAGACAGGCTGTTTAGATTCACAGGGAGGCAAGGACATGGAGCAATGGTAGTGAAAAAAACATTCCTCCCTGCAGTGTTTTCCATCCCACACAGGGGCAAACAGACTTGTAAATATTGAAACAAGCACTCGGGCACAAAGAAAACCTGACGCTTTTTATTAAGGAGCCGGTGGAGTTGATAAATTGCTACTTCTCAACTGATAAAAAGGTATTTCATGTTGCTTTATGAATGTTTCCCCTGAGCTCTGTTTTCACTTGATCTAATATCCTAAAAGTGGTTTATAGTCTGTAGATAGGAATTCTAAACAGTGGGAGATTATACTGCTATAAGTGTAGAGCATGCCGAGCAGACAGCCACTTTCAGTAGTAATAAATGGAGTGTGTAATGCACTGCACCTTTGTAAGTATACCATCCTCTCTGTGGTTCTTCTGCAAGACATGTTGGAGGGCCAGCTGGATTTTCTGCTGGAGTTTTTCCACCTTGACCTTCTCCTGGAGCCAGGACCGGTCTGAAAGGCAAATTGTCACAACTTTATTTACTGTAAAACAACCACACACCTCTTAACCAATGAGGTGAGTTATAAAATAGAGAAAAAAAAACATAAGGAGCAGCAGTGTTTATTGTAGTGGTGAGTGATAGTGTGTTTTTTTTTCCTTTCTGCGGTGACTGACACCTACCAGCAGACATCAACACAAAGGCAGAGAACAGGGCGATCTCATCCTCAGACAGGTGCATAGAACACAAGTTTTTCCCAAACTCGAAGACAGAGCTGATCAAGTCGTCACAGCCTGCCACAGCAAAGGACAGAGAGAGGGGCTTAGGATGAGGAAGACCAAAGAACAACATTCACTCTTGATCTTTATTGGGAGAGAGGCACACAGGGAAGGGAGAGGAAGGGGAAGGGATGAAAAGGAGCGGCATGCTGACAGCACATGGGAGCGTCTTAAGCAGAACAGGCAATGCTTTTACTGAGTTTTGCCTCCCAGACGAGTCACTTTTGGCAGTTGGGTGGTGTTATGCAAGCTAAAATGAGGTCACTATTGAGGCTTTTAGTTAAATCAATTATCAGGGATAGAGAGAGACAGGCGGATGCTGCCGCAACTCGGGAAGCCCATCACTCTCTCTCCCTGCCATAGACCACTCAGACAGAACTCACAGGACACAGGGAAGGATACACATGCTCACTCATACAAACAGAGTTTTACGGAATCTGCATTTTACAGCCGCTGTGGGACATATCTAGATTTTCATTTGTCAAAAGGGCGTTTGAAGCAAGAAAGCCCATGATGGAAAAATCTTAATACCACAGCATCAGATGTGATTGCTACTTGCTTTCGCCAGAGATGTTTATGTCAAACTATCAGTAGTTTTGATGGCTCTCTCCCCAAAGACACCACATCTTGCTTTATTTATTCCATTTACATGAGCCACATGCAGCAGAGGCTCACGAACATCTCTGTTCTACCATAAATAACTACTGTAGAAACAGAAATGCCAGGTGAGGACAGGATGAGTGCTCAGTGTTTGCTTCTGGGCCTTCAGCATTGTGTAAAACAGAACAGCCGACTCTAATTTTGGCTGATACAACAAGGAAAAGGGTAAGAAACTGCAGAGAAACAGACAGATACACACACATTTACTTTCACCCTCTCCACTTACCTAATGACTTGAACACATCAGGTCCAGCATATTTTCCATCAAAATAGACTGTGTTGTTTTGTGAGTCAAAGGCACGGCACATTCTGACAAACACAACTTCCAGAGAGCCTGTGGAGACAAAGAGAAACAAGATGCTGAATCTGAGCTTTGTTTCTATTTTTCCTTACAGTTACATATCAGTCAGGGGTGTAAAAACACGTGACCGCGCTTTGTGCTAATCTTCCACAATGTGAATAACACAAGCACTTTGAAATAAAGATGTCTGCTGTCAGAAGAGAAAAAAATTGTCAGTGCAGATTAAAATATCATCGATAGAAGGCTATTCTTCCTCAACGGCTCGCCAGATAAAAACAGCTTCATTCAGCAGTGACAGAGCCTTTTCATTCAACCTTTATTTAGCTGGATAGGTATTTATGATATGCTATAATTTGTATCACTTTGTGGGAGTGGAGAGAAGGATCAAGAATTTGTAACAGAATGCCATTGTTGCCTCTAAGGGATAAGCAACTATTTTAAAAATTCATGTCTAACAAGAGATCTGGGTCTTTATTTTATTATTCATATAGGTTGTGCTAATGCAGAAAAAATACCCCCAAAAAAACAGGAGACGTATCACTTTGCTGGATGAAGCACATATTTGTATTTGTACGTACGTACAGGTGACAGTGTGCCAAAATCACTAACAATGCAACATGTACTGTTTCTGTAAAGGTATCTTCAAGAGGGGAGACATCTCTGGTGTGTGGGAAGAGAGTGAAATGGCAGGCGACACGATATGCATTATCAGAGCCCAGGAACACACGACTTATCTAATGCTGTGTCCTTCCCTGCTATACATGTAGGGAACAGAGGAAAAACACAGAGAGCCGGAGACGGGAAACAGGCGGGGTGGGGTCTCCTGTCTGTGACACTGTCTGTGCATATGAAGAAGAGAGCTTTGTGCAGTCAGGTCAGCTACACCCTTGTGACAATGCCAGGGAGGGGTGGTGGTGGTGGTGGTGGGCGAGTTTGACGGCAGCAGGCCATGTTGACGGGCTGTCATACCTGCTTTCAGCAGCACTATCTGATCGTTCTGACACAGCTCCATGAAGCCGTCGATGCGCTTGGCAAACTCCACCACATACTGAATGGCCTCTGTTATTTTGATAGCACACAGCTGCCACATGACTTCCCGGGGCTGAGAACAGATAGGACAGAGAATGGGTTATCTGCTTTGCTTTAAAAAACGATTTCTGACGCCGATGGAGTTGTGGTCAAGCTACCTTGTTCTGGTAGCTCTCCACCTCCTCCTGCAGGAAAGCCTGCCAGGTCATCTGCTGCAGCTCCTCTCTCAGGTACTGACATGTCTCCATGTGTGACTTTGAAATGTTCTGGGCCAGGTGCTCTGAAATACAACCATCATCACAAACCCAGAAGATCACTGATGAGACCTACGTGTTGCACACAAAGCCGCGCGGAGGTGAGGACCTCATCAATGACAAATGTCACAGGAAAAGAAGATTTATTTACTGTCCTTTCATGTAAGGACGTGTGGATATGAGTGGGCTCTTTTGACTGGGAAAAGGCTTGTTGACATTTCCTTTCACTGCCTGCAGGAAGCCAGGCTAGTCAAGGATAGGCAAGCCAATCTAGTTATGACACAAATGCAAGAAAGGGGGAGGGGAACCACATTACTCACTGAAACAAAGGTCACATTTTCTCTGAGAGAAATTTTGAGTATAAGAATTTAAATGGTTTTGAAAACACATCTGTTAAAAAGGAGTTCCTCGGCACAGGGGAGCCTAAAAAAATGATTTCCCCAGACGCCTGCCCTGCTGGATCCTGATTGGCCCTAATTAATGGAAACTAATTACAAAAAAGAGGCTCTTTTAATGAGTGTTGGAGATGAGTCTCCAACCTCCTGCTATTTTAAGCAACCTTTGTGTCGTTTGCCCCACGGTTGAGTTGTCCCCCCCCCCCCTTCCATTTTTCTGTCTCTCTTTTTTTGCCTCTCTCCTGCTTCTTACCAAGTTCAGCCATAGACACGGTTGGGGAGGTCTCTCCGTTGGTGAAGGAGCAATAAGGGAAGAAGCCAGAGCCGGGGGCAAAGTCGCAGATGGGCTCCGGCTTGATGCCGTTGATGTCCAAGCCTGACTGGTCAGGGGATGGCTGGATGTCCAGGTAAAAGCTGCTGACCGCCGAGTCTGGTTTGCTGCCATCAGGGGTGTGGCCGTCCATGTAGCCGCTGAGGTCATCGTGGAGCTCCGTGAGGCCATTGGCTGAGAGGCTGTAGTTGGGTGTGAGTGGCTCGGCCTCCCCGGGCTGCTGTTGGTGGTCGCGCTGCTGCTGCTGCAGCCGGTGCTTCTGGACCTCAGCGTACAGGCTGTCTCGCTGCTTCTTCGACATGCGGCCAAACTTCACCGCTGTTGGTGGCAAAACAAAACAAGTGTGAGACTTCAGTGAAACTAACAAACAAGAGTCAAATAAATCAAAGTGCTTAATCAATTCAATTCAATTAAATAATTTATTGTCATTGTCAAAAAAGGCAACGAAATTGTGTAGCACCTTTATTCAGTCATACTACCAATCTTAACCAAAATTTGAATCTATCTGTAAAAACAAGAAAAAAGTTCATGGCAAAGTTATTTGCAAGATCTTTAAGAAAATACCAACAATTAGGTTTGATCTCAGCAAACAGACTAAAACCTTTAGTTTTTTTTAAAGTCTGACACAAAATTATTTCTATAGAAAACAAAAAATGACTTAACAAGACAACTTCTGGATGTCATGTGAACATTTAAACTGTAAGTTCAGTGTTCTTATAGATTTTCTATTTCAGAGTATGAAAAATAGCATCCTATCTTTTTTTTAAAAATTTTGTGGGGAAAGTTTTGAATAGTGGTACCTTTGCACAGTCTTATCTATCGACACAAAATCCTAACAAATAAAACTGTTCTCCCAATAGCATATAGTATATCTAAACTCATAATCCACCCTTCATATACTGTATGAGTATTGTGGTTTCTTTTCAATGTTTTGGGTCTTTCATATGAAAAACCAAAAGGAATTTCAGATTTAATAAAATATTTGAATGCAGCCTTTCAGAAATGCTCAAAACCAAGCAGATTGTCATGATTCACCTCATAAATTAAAAACAAATATAATTCCTTTAAATAAGAAATGTACTTTGTAATCCACTGAATCATTGCAAATATTTTTTTGCATTAGTATAAGTTTAGTTCTATAAGCATGCGCTGGATGCATTTACACCAACATTTCATTGGCGTACTATTGCCGATTTAATATTTAGTCTGGCTGCATTGTCTTCCATGAAAAACACTGCGCTTGTCTGAGGAATTGATTTACAGAGATTTCCCATATTAAACTGCGAAAACTAGCATATGGACTAAATAAAATTTTCATACTTGCTCTCCTACCAGAACAAAGACCTAATTTATCAAGTTCAATACTTCCCCATGCTGTGTGGGGACCAGGATCATCACTTTAAAGTTAGTCAGTTCATTTTGTGCTTTCCTCATACACAGTGACACATTTTAAACTCAGAAACGTGTCACAATCAACCCAGAGGGCATCAGCTAAAATAATGCAAACAAACCAAACAAAACCAATAAAATTCAGGAGGGATAAGTAATAGTAAAAAACAAAGGGCAGCTTTATAAGTTCAGAGACAAACATGGGGCGCAACAAGCAGCTTATCAGCCACTCAAACATGAGACAGGATAAGATCCTGCCTCCTGTTTCAAGGTTTCCAGACTAAACAGTGGTGCTGAGAATGAGACTCCTTGGCTGAAATTCTGGGGACCTGGCAGTAAGTCAGGCGGTTGCAGAGTGTGTGTGTGTGTGTGAGAGTGTGTGCAGGGTAGAAGTGAGTGGAGCGACACAGAGGAGAGTGCGGGCAGATGGGCTCTGGTGTGTTCAGTGAAGGTAAGAGTCACCTTCGTCTGTCCTGAGTGTGTGCGTGCAAATGTGTGTGATGCATGGCCACACACCCAGTGCTAACATTCCTCTGTGTTCATTCACATTCATGAATATGCATGAATGTGAGGATGAAGACATGCCAGCCTCTGTGAGTCTATGTTCAGGTTTTCACTTGACTTCACATTTGTGCTATTTCTCTAGGTACTGTGCTGAAAGAAAAAAAAAATCACAGACCAGCTCTCTTCTGAGAGAATCTCCTCATTCCGGTGTAGCCTGGACACTCCTGGCCAAGCAGGAATGCTCCCTCACACCTCCACACCTGTGTGCTACTCTTACTGTATATCAGCTGCAGCAGCACTAATGACACCCTCTAATAACCTCCTATATCCTTAAACCAAGGTTCTATCACAGCGGCAAAGTGGGTCCAGTGAAAAAGCACTTGATCATCTCTGGCAGAGCTTGTGTGAGGAATTTCTCGGGGAAAATTTCTGTCTCTTAGAGATAAAATGTTATGGTCTCGTAATTATCTTGTGTTCTATATTTTTTTGCCTCAAGATTTAAATAAGATCTGGCAAAAGGATTAAAAAAAACAACTGATCAGACTGTAGATTAGCTTAAATGCACTCTGTCTATATGAAAAACAACATAAAATGACTTTAAAATTACTTTAATGACTCGATCTAAAGATACTTCTGCAGTGCAAGTTCTTGCCTACACAGGACCCTGAATCTGGGCTTCCCACCTCTCCCTGTTCACTCCACCACCCACCTGTAGGTCCTTTTTGATGAAGCACTTACCATCTCGTGACATTCCCACTGCCAGGCACTTCTGCAGCCTGCAGTGCTGGCAGCGGTTGCGGCTGGTGCGGTCGATCAAGCAGTTTTTCTGACGGGGGCAGGAGTAGGCTGCATTGCTCTGCTGACTCCTCCTGAAGAAGCCCTGGATGCGTAGAGGGGCACAGAAACACCTCATAAAACTCCACGCAGGGAGACAGGTTCTTCGCCAGAGGGATCAATTTATGTCTTCATCGTATTGTAATGCTGACAAGATTGATCAAATACCGATAGTGATTCCCGCTGATATTTTCCTCCCTTGCTGTCTCTCTGATAAATAACAATACAGCTGGGGTGGTATTTTCCGGGCTGTTATGTTGTACAACCTGGCATTTACGGAATGCTGTATTTCGCCAGCGCATTCAGCAAAAGGGTGGCGTGTTTGGGTAGGACTGATAACAATGGACGGCATTTTTCTTCAGCGGAGTTATTAGTGTTGATTAATGCAGCACCGGCATGTGCGGTACTAAAGGATGGCGAACGCACACCGACTAGATTCCTCATCCTTTGACTTAATGAATTGATTCCAGCACATCATTAACATGCCCCACTCTACTGCTCCATACACATATGTCTTAATTAGCTGCTCATTGGCTGTTTAATTACAAGAAAACAGCTGACAGCTGCCAAGTTGCTTTATAATGGAAGCCATTATGGAAACAGAGTAAAACTGCCAGTGACAAGCAGGACTCTTTAATAATGCTATGATTTATGATCCAAACTTTTGTACTTGCACATATCATTAAAGGCCTCTCTGCCTGGACTAATTAGCAATCATTAAAGATAGATTTCAGCAGTTTACTCTTTACTGTTTTGTCCCTTTCAGCCCCTCAGCGAGAGTGCCAGGAAGAACGACTGAAAGAAACGTCTTTCTGTCCCTCACACACACACACGCACACTCACACAGGCACACACACATTTGCACAGGAGCAAACAGCAAAGGTGCAGGCTGGCTGAGGAATGCTAATGATGTGCCTGGTGACAAGTATGGGGACAAGAATAGATTTTAAACGCAAAATTCCCCTTCACTGTGAATGGCTGTTGTATTTGAAACAGTACAAAAGGTGGCTTCAATAGAAGCAACGCACTGTAGCAAACAGCCAACAATCTGCTATAATTCAAAGCACTCTCCTTTTGATCATCTTATTTCAAGAAGAGCCGGCTGCAGCAGAAACAAGGAAAAAAAACAGCTAAAAGATGTGTCCCTGGGAGGGAAAGGCAGAGGAAGACATCGGAATGGCTTTGTCCTACTAATTGTGGTTTCTGTGATATTCTCTGTGGTGCTTGACCACTTTAACGATCACACTCAGTGTCTGCACTCTAGATCATCGACAAACTTCAGCAACATTTCTTTAGATATTTTTCCTAGCAAGCAACTTTCTTCAACTCCTCAGTTTTTTATGTCTTTTCCCTCTCAACCCTTCTGTCTCTAAAGCACACTGTCTAACACACACACACACACACACACACGCACACACACACACACCAAGTCCCATCACACTAACAGGTTTAGTCTTTTGATGCTTACCTTACAGCCTTCACATGTTATCACGCCGTAATGGATGCCTGATGATTTGTCTCCACAGATCTTGCAGGGAATTATTTCGATTTGAGCTGTGGAGAAGAAAAGAAAATGAAATAAATAAATAAATAAGAAAAATCAACATTTTGCTGTCACAAGTCACCGTACAGCACACTCACCATGGATCCATGTTGGTACATAAAAGAACACTGTGCTTCTAAAAACATCTCATCCGGTAGCTTTTGAATTCTCGCTTCCATAGCGCATTAGCTGAATATCTATATAGTTGTGTGTGTGTGTGCGTGTGTGTGCACGCTTGTGAAGGGAAGGATCTCATTTTAAGTCCTCACAAACAGCCAATGTAAACATGGTGTCAATTTGCATCCACAACACAGCCTGCATAAGTAGCTACCCACAAATATAATATTCTACAGTAGTAATCATATAAACCTTGTACAATGACAAAGGCTCATTTAACCACATGAGTTGGTCTATTCCCTGTTGGAAAACTTGACGTCACGCAGCCTCTTAAATTTCAAAACCATAAAACCCCCAGGAGTAAATCCACTGCAGCCACAAAGAATCATAACATGCCCGCTGTGCTGGATGAAGCAAAAGCAGTGACTGAGTGTGTGTGTGTGTGTGAGTGTGCGTGGCTTTGTGTGCGATACAGAAAAAAGGGTTCAGTTGCAGTTTGGCTGTAGTGTTGTGCTGTTGACAGGCCTGTGATTCAGCCGCCATGGAGGACAAAAGCACAGAGAGGACGAGCCTCATCCATCGTTGGCCCTCTCTTTGGGAGCAGACCACAGGGCAACACAACACAACAGACAGAACACACAGACATCAGAGACCAAGAACTCCCAGCTCGTCCCCCTGCTCTCAGCTTTATCACTGGAACCACTGATGCTACATCCCTCTCCACCTCCACTCCCTCTACCCTCCAGAGATCTCTATCTCATAGCCCTCCTCCACATCTCTAAGATCACAGTCCCACCATTCCAACAGTGCACCACAGCGCCAGACAAACGCCACTATCTGATTCAAATCGAGGAAAGATCACTGCAGGATATTTTCTCATGATGTCATTTTTATTCCCTTTTTCTAAGCAACCACTCGGAGCAATAGGTGCTGTTACAGTGAAATTCCAGCCCAATTAAGGGAGAGAAATTATTAATCGTCCCAACAGCGTGCAATAAAGATAATAACACCTTAAATATGGTGGCACATTGTCAGACTGTTTCATCAGCTACCCTCTAACAGGCCTAACTGTCTACTATAATGCCTCAGGTCTCCTCCAAAGACAAAAGGCTTAAAATATCTTTCACACACCTTAACAACCAGCCTCTTTATTCTAGTTTGATCACATCAAAAGTAATTTTGTTGGGGTTCAATCCAGAGATCCATGCCCATTTTAATCAGCTGCCTGGGAGCCTGTAATGTGTCATGTGGATAAAGTCCTTGTCCCTGAGGCATGCCCAAGAGAGGCCCTTAACACAGAGCCTCTAATCCACCAACCCCGGAGCCACACTGTTCATTCAGGGAACTCAGTCTGTTCTCCTTGCGCTGCTGGAAACAACACGGCCGACCATGTTTACTTGGAATTAGCCTAGATTTTAGTAAAATGAACAAAAGGGAGTAGTGGAACATGCACAATTAATTCTCCTCCAGACAACACCTCCTGTGATTTGTGAATCTCACATACAATGGAGGGCACTGCACCTCGTCGACCCGGATTACAGGGAAACCCAGGCAGGAGGCGGGCTTTGACAGCCTAACAGAGAGGGTTAATTTATAATTAATCTTTTCCTTACTGTGCACAGTTGCTTGTTATTTCATTTAGGTCTATGTCTGTGTGAGTGCACTCCATTGTTTGTTTTGTGTTCTCCCTGCATGAGCATTAACAGTGCAGTGTGTTTCGACTCCTTTAGCATTTTCAGCCTCATTACTTAAATAATTTGTTCTGACATGCACTCACAACAACTGAAGCGTGCTGTAATTATGACAAGCCGGAGTTATGGTGATCTAAAGGTTGCATTGTTAGGCCCCAGCCATAGGGTGGCAGTGCAGGGCTGTGGCTATGGTTGTCTTGCCAAGTTAACCCAAGCTTCCACCCACCCTGTCCAACCCACAGGCTTTTGGCTGTGAGCTCCAGCCTCTCATTGCTCAGGGCTTAGGCTGCTTCGAGCGTCCCCCACCCCCACAGCATAGCTATGAGATGCCTTCATCTTTCCTGAAGATGTGGAGCTGGCTGGGTGCTTGCTGGGGCCTGACAGAGGCTGTGCCACATCAGGTGAAAGCAGTGGGAGTATAGACACAGGGTTGCCAGGCTAGGCAGTGCATGCATTCACACAAGCATGCTTTAGCTTTACTAAAGCCCTTTTCGGCTGCAAAGAGGCCCTGTGTGCAAACAGTCTTACAAGCGAACACTCTTTCACTCCGCCAATGCACAATTCCTCTGGATGTTCAGTGCACTCAACGGTAAAAAGGGTTTGTCTCTGGACCAGCTGAGGCAGGCCTTATAGGCCTCTTATGAGGACAGACATAACTCTGTAGATATAATGCTCCCCAAACAGGGATGGGGTGATGTCAAAATGAGCAAATATAAAAACGGAGATCAACTATACAACGATTGAACTGAGCCATCAACAAATATTAGTCACGGGGCCCTCAAACTGCATTATGGCCACTGATGATAATCTAAACAGAATTCACACAGGGGAACTCAATCAACCAAAAATACTCACACGTACAGGGACTCCCAATGTGGCAGTCAATATCTATTGACACGAGCTGTGGTGTTAACTGCCTCTTGGTGCGAAACAGGCAGCTGCTGGATCATTTGAGCTTGACCAGTGCAGTGCCACTGATCCCATTCACCGCGCCTCCCTGCCTGCCTGCCTGCCCGCTCCCTGCCAGCCAGCCAGCCAGCCCTGCCTGCTCTGTTTATGACATCAAAGCCAGGCAGTTATTCAGGCAGCCATGCTAAAGCCCATCCCAGCAGCCTGCCGCTCATGGCTGCACAGCGAGATGGTCCTGCACGGAGGCCACTTCAAAGACACCTGCTGAGATGCTAAGATTACGTTTGAATCCCGCCGCAACACAAAAAACACACCCCGGATATGAGAACGATGACCCGACCAAAGCTCAGGACTGGTTTCCTGTACGTTTTGCGGATTGACATTTGTGTCTAATACGACAGGGATGGCAGAAAAGAGGCGTTGCTCAAGCAGAATGTGGAAGCTTGTTCTTTGTCAGTCTGTGCCTGAGCAGCTCAAGGACACCGAATCACAACAGCGACAGGCCTTTTGAGGGAATGACGTGTCACTCAGTGCACATGTACAATAGGGCAATGAGGCCACTGCATGTTCACCCAGTGCCCTTCACTGTCTTCTCCACGGCTCTTAGATCAACACACTACATGAACAGTTGAGTATCTTATCCAAGACCAGAATCACAACAGTTAAATGAGAACACTTAAAATCGTCTGCTACAAACACATTAGCGGTTTACAGCGATCAGTTTATTTTATTAATGACAGTTTCCTCTCTACTGTTAATTAAACAGAGCTTCCTGTTGGTTGTAAGGAGTGATTCATATGACAAATCTCAGAGCCGCACTAAAAAATTTACACCTATTCATTATCTTTACAAAAAAAATACTCAGATTTTTGTAAATGAGTTATGATAATTAATGGAGTGCAATGTGTTAATGAAAATCGAACACTTATTAAGAATGAGGAGCTGGTGCTTGCAAATGTCCCGTTTGTCATAGTTTGTTGTGATTTATTTATTTTGAAAATAAAATAACAGAAAATTAATCAGCGAGGTTGTTATCAGATAGAGAGCATTATGATGTGAAATGATATATAAGGTCTGAACGGGAAGGAAGACCTACCCTCTAAAACTGAGCAGGAAAGAACCTTATAAATTGCATATACTGTTTGATATGATCATCTTAATTAGAAATACGATAACAAAATAAACATTCTTGTTTGTGCAGACACAAAAAAGCTAAACTGAAAATTACACAGCCTTGTGCAAACATGGGAAATCTGCAGTCAAAATCTTCTGTGTATTCCGACTGAACCTTGGAGTACTGACATAACGCTGGATTAAGTTTATCCCTTACTTTACAGACCCCTGCCCAGGCCACGATCATAATGCTGAAAGCTTAACCCATTACTCGATTGGACCATTAAATCAGTTTCTCATGGCCGTTTAGCACACAATAAACAGACTCAAAAACCAAAGACTGTGTCTGTTGTGCATAAGCAGAGCAGATTTTTGTGTTCCATAGTAGGCAGCATTTTAATATTTATCACTGTGAAAGAAAGCATGTAAAGCAGTCGGAGAAAACATTGCTTTCCCTGTGTGATAGTGTTTTAGCGTGTGTGTATGTGTGTGTGTGTGTCAGCCTTGTTGTGCTGACAGCTGTCGATGACGGAGTGACGCAAGCCAGTGGGCTCATGTCAGAGATTATGTAAGGTGGACAGGGCGCAGCATTATGAGCAGAATCTCTCATCAGACAATACGTCTTAAAAGATCCTCTCTAAAAATCTTAAAACCCAAAATTAAACGATCGCATTCTTTTCCCGGACTATTCTGCAAATACGGCAATTACATACAGAACACACAAAAAAAAGAGAGGCAACGAACTGTTTGATGAATGTGAAATAAGCAGCGTTCCTCCGTCATTATGAGCATCTATTTATTTTTCTGTATGAACTTCCCATTTGGCAATGGAGATCAGCTGCCGGGTGATAAACAGCCTTTTCTAAACAGATCCCCACAGCAGTCAGATGGAGCTGTAGGGAGGCGACAGTCTAACAAGAGATTGAATCAGAATTCTGCCTCTCTTCATCTGCCAGGGCTCTGCTGTCATGTGAAGTCACACAACACAATACTGTTTTCTTCCCATTTATGATGCAGTAAAAAAGGTTGTTTGAATGTCAGCGGCGAAGGATAGTTGTATCATTGAACGCAGACCAAACTGTATAAATGTGTTATTTGTTTGGGGATCTGAGGATGACGACATTTCACGCAAGAGCTAATGGCTGCTGTATTGACACCAGGTACTCAAATATACCAACAAC